TGATGGTTTCTGAACTACTGTATGTATAATATGCACAAACTTTCAGTACGTGTAGAATACCTGGATGATTTGTCAAAATGTGCAATATACAACATGATGGTGCATGCAATACTCTATCCCATAATGCAGTGCCCTTAACATACTGCCAACAGCCACACAGAGGACAAAATGTGCACATACCTTTTTCCGATCCCATTTTCCATCCTTCATTGATATGACAGCTTGTGGAATACGTCTAGGAAATACAGAAAACCTTGATAAATATTTGCAATATTTAATTGGGTATGTAACAGGAATAACAATAGGAATATAACAATAAATCAAACTTAGAGGGGTTATAGCAGGTCTTTTTTCATATTTTTTCCCCCACTTATATGTCCAGAGTCCAAAAGTTTTTTTTTTTAATACACAATTTTTATTTGATTTTTTTTTGAAAATCATTTTCTACCCTATTTTAGGCCCAGAGACATCACAGTTCTGAAAATTAAAACATATTTTATAATACAATTAATAATTTATCTCAAAACCCTAAAAAAAAAAAAAAAAAAACAATGAACAGAAGTACTTTATTAAACAAGTACTTTATTAAATTTGCCAGTTTACCTAGATAAGCTCATCAAAAGAGCACAGGTGAGCTCAGCAGCACTGATTGTGTTTCCACTCGGAGTGCTAAAATATGAAAAGACAGAAATACGAATAAACAAACATTTAGGAAAGGAATTCCTGGCCATTCTACTTAAAAGGAATAGTTCATGAAAATGATGAAAACATCCTCACCCTCAGGCCATCCCAGATGAGTTTGTTTCTTCAACAAACCGTCAGAATAATAGTTCAAACAGCTGATAAAAACAATACACAATAATCCACACCCCTCCAGTCCATCAATTAACATCTTGGGAAGTGAAAAGCTGTTTGTTTGACCAGCTTCTGGTCCCCATTGTCTTCCATAGTACTTTTTTCCATATTATGGAACTCAATGGGGACCGGCAACTATTTGGTTACAGGTTTGGAATAACTTGAGCGGGGAGTAAATGATGACAGACTATTCATGAACTATTCCTTTATGATGGATTTGTTTCTTACAAACACACAGCTTATTGTTTTTCAGTGTTAACTGATGGACTGGAGTGGTGTGGATTATTGTGATGTTTTTATCAGCTGTTTGGACTCTCATTCTGACGGCACCCATTCACTGCAGAGGATCCACTGGTGAACAAGTGATGTAATACTAAATTTCCCCAAATCTGCTCCCATGAAGAAATAAACTCATCTACATCTTGGATGGCCTGAGGGTAAGTTCCTTTCCAGCAAATACTAATTTCTGAGTGAACTATTCTTTTAACATCTCCTTAGATGTTAGCACGAGAGGCAATACATGTTGACAATTTCATTTCCGTGTGAACTATTTACATTAAGAAAAGAAGTAAGAAGAGTGCACAACTAGAGCAACCTGCTTTAGCACTGAAAACAAACAGAATTGAGGTCAGAGCAAGACTCAACATGCTTCATTACTTCATGACAATAATGCCTCTCTTAGTCGCTGCATCCACATCCACGTTGTCAACTCCGGTTCCGGCCCGTCCAATGATCTTCAAGTTACTGCCAGCACTGATGACCTCAGCAGTAACTTTGGTTGCTGATCGGACGACTAAACCATCATAATTCTTGGGAGAAAAAAATGTGAACAAAATGAGCATGTTATTTCCTAAGCAGAACAACATGTGGCATGACAACAGTGACAATAAATTACAAGTCACCATGCATTCAGCGTTTTACTTAATGCACATGCCTTCCCGATGAAGAAAAATGATATGCATTGTATTTACATCCTATCCAAGCAAATACCTAATAAATAAAAACACAACAAAAATGTACACACTAAAAACACATGCACACAGCAAAACACATGTGCAGTATGCACTGAAAAAACATACTTCGAATACATAAATTGCTGGTTTACTTGGTGTCTAAGAAAATCATTAGTTAGGAAACGATTCATATGGTGCAGATACATGCTGCTGTTGCATCAGACTCGTGAAGAGGAGGAGGAGGGGTGACAGTCACACACAAACTTCAGCACATCCAACTGGCACACATTCACATGCTAATATTTTATCTCTCTCACACACACACACACACACACACACACACAGGTTTACATTTGTGAAAAGTGGGGACATCCCATAGGCGTAATGGTTTTTATACTGTACAGACCGTATATTCTATTGCCCTACACCAACCCTACCCCTAAACCTACCCCTTGCAGGAGACTTTGTGCCATTTCAGATTTTCAATACACTCCATTATGTGCGATTTATAAGCGTTTTGAAAAGTGGGGACATGGGGTAATGTCCTGAAAAGTCACCTTCTCCTTGTAATACCTGTCATACCTTTGTCATTATACAAATTTATGTCCTCATTTGTCACAAAAACACACACACACACACACACACACACACACACAC